CTATGGAGGTCAGGGAGTGGAATATGGCGGTTTGAATGAGAAACATTGCCTATAGTCTGGTCATCTGAACAATAAATAAGGGGAGGCTTAGGTCATGGATCCTTGCTGGAGGAAGTATGTAACTGGGGGTGCTCATTGACATTGAAAGCCTCATATCACTTCCAGTTTACCCTCTCTGCTTTGTGCATGTAGTTTAAGATGTGAGCTCTCAGCTTCCTGCTCCTGCTGCTGTGTCTCCCTGCCATGACGGATGCTTATCCCTCTGGAACTGTAACCCTTCTAAGTTGCTTTGGTCATGATGCTTTATCCCAGCAACAGAAAAGTAATTAATACACTATAATATTTGGGCTGGCTGTGTGTAGATTGGGATCAATCAAACCTATCATATGAACCAAGAATTCGGTTATATGATACATTCTGTGTCACTTTTCTCTCCCTTGCTGGAGCCTGTCTGCCTGCCTTCCTTCCTTCCTTCCTTCCTTCCTTCCTTCCTTCCTTCCTTCCTTCCTTCCTTCCTCCCTCCCTCCCTCCTCCCATTCTTTCCTGTCTGAAGTGTCGTGGCAGAATGTTTCAGAAAGAAATGGGGGCATGGGGAGGAAGAATGTATGTCCTAGTAGGTGTAGCCAGGGCAGCAACTTACACAGTCCAGGAGTTGTTCTCCTCTTCCTCCTCCTCCTCCTCCTCCTCCTCTTCCTCTTCCACCCTCCTCATCTTTCTCTTCTTCCTCCTCCTGGTGACAGCAAGTCAGAATGGCTTGTCTCTGTACTCCACCCTGCATGAGGAAAGTTACATCTCCTCTGCCATGCCAGACCAATGGTTTGTTCCACAGGCTATTTCCAGTCTTCTATCTGCCCCTTCCCTCCCGTGTCTTAGCTGGCTTGGGAAAATGCATCTTTCTGTGCTTATCCCAGAGAAAGTAGCAAGGCTTCTGCTTTGGGGGGGTCTACATTTCCCCTTCACTAGCCCAACTGTGAGAGACAGAGAGATCGCCCCTCAGAAGACTCACAGAACTGAAACCCTCTTACCTTTTCTTTCTCCATCTTCTACATTTGGATTTTTTTCTTTACTATCTAGAGCAAGAAAAAAAACGTCCTTTTGGCCTTTGCCAGCCTCTGGCTTTTGAAGCATAAACGCTAAGAATGGACTCTTTTGTTCTTTGCATTCTGCTGCGTCATCCTTTCCCTGAAGCCAGAACATAGGATAACCCAGCTGCCTGGGCTGGGGCAAGGTCACAGGGAGTAGGGGAAACTGATCATATTTCAAAACCCATTCAACCACCAAGGCTTGTGCTAGCCCCAGTCAGAACTCCACTGTGCATTTGGAGACGGCATTCTTTTATTTTCTAAGCTTTATAATTATCCAGTGGGTCTATTTGTTAATCAGAGATTATCTAATTAAGAATTTGGCATATCACCTCTGTGATAGTAAAACTCTCTCATTTCTTAAATTCTAATTAGCTACTTATTCAACTCTTTTACTCATTCAGTACTTATTAACTACCCAGTAATTATCAGCTGCTGCGCTGCTGTGGGAGGGAAATGTGAGATGAATCAAACCCTTCTTTCGGGCTCCTGTCTTTGAGGGACTAAGAATTATACAGCTTGCTAGTAGGCAGCCATGGAAAGGAGGCCTAGGGTAAATAAATGTACCATCAGTTTTAGGATGGCCAACCTCTCTTCTTCCCCTTTCCCTGTCCTCCAAGAAGGAATTGTTCATCAGAACTTTCACATCAGCTGCCAGGATCCTTTGGCAGGAACCAATCAACTTCCCTGTCTTTGTTCACATTACTCAATCCCCCAACAATAGCCCAAGCCAGCCAATTCATGCTCCCAAACTTAGAAGAATCTCCACAATCTGGTTGGGTTTGGCTGCCAGTTCTGGTTCCCTTCAGTTCTGGGAGAGTTTCCTTATGTGCTGTGCTGTATATGTATTTTCATTTACAATAAAATTTGACTTATTGCTGTCTTTCTTGCCTTTTTAATTCTTAAAGGCAGTAGAGAAAATGAATTCATTCCTGGACCTCCAAACGGCACCATCCTGGTGGCATCGATTCATTCATAGTCATTCAGTAATTATGAAAAATGTCATAAGAGCTACATTAGTGGGATACACCAGAAACGGAGCAAAGAGGAGCAGCTACCAGCTGTGACTGGGTAGCTTCAGGAGATATGACTCTCCTATTGGATCTTGAATAATGAAAGGTGTTCAAGTCATGAAGGATGGAAGAGGCTCAGGTTGTGGGGTGATAGGAAGAGAAGGCAGTTGGAGAGGAAGAGGCTGGTAAAGCCTCATCAATGCATGAATATGAAATCATTTATCGTTACTACTTCTAATCTTTTTGGTGTGTATGTTGTGTGTGTATGCACACCGCAGAACACGTTCAGAGGGCAGAAGACAACCGTAGTGTCAGTCGCTGCCTTCTACCTTGTTTGAAACAGGGTCTCTTTGCTGGTTGCCCCGACATCAGGTGTGCTGGCCTACGAGCTTCTGGGAATACGCGTTGTTATTGTGCCTGGCTTTATGTCGGTTGGTTCTGAGAATTTCACTTTCGAAGCAAGTGCTTTATTCAATGTGCCGTCTCTTCAACCCTGTATCTTTATTTTTCAGCAAGAAAGAAAAATGCACGTGTATGTGGACACCAAATGTGCGTGTGTGTGTGTGTGTGTGTGTGTGTGTGTGTGTGTGTGAGAGAGAGAGAGAGAGAGAGAGAGACAGAGAGAGAGAGAGAGACAGAGAGAGAGAGAGAGACACAGAGAGAGACAGAGGCAGAGAGAGAGAAGACAGAGAGACAGGGAGAGTGGGGGAGGAGAGAGAGGAAGATCCTTATGTTTGGGAGGAAGAAACCAGGATAAGAGACTACAACAACCCACACCTTTGTCCTCCTCCACCGACACACTAATTCAGGGCCTTCTGCTTCTCATGTACTAGTTATTTAAGGATTGAGCACTTTACAGCTTTTTAGTAGTATTTGGAGTAGTAGAGGAACATTTTAGCTGTATATGAAATTTACTTCTGGGTTTCACATGGAGAGATTTCTCCAAGATTCACCAGGAGAGAGATGTCTACCAGTTCTTTGGAAATGCTTTCTGTGTGCATATTCTTTGGGTCTTCCTTTGGAGGGGTAGTTGAGGTTGAGAATGGAAGGGCTGGAGGCTAGAGGTGGAGTTCTGCCTCAGCATATAGTAAACGCCATAGGCCTACATATTCTGTGTAATAACTCCTCTATGTTGTAGTTGTATATTGTCTTCAAAATTTAAGTGATAATTATGCAATTTAAGTGCTTTTTATACGTAAAAGATTCTGTATACGTAAAAGTTCTGGAGGTGAAACTGTGATTTTAAGAAACTGTTAGTTTACCATCGAGTTCATGTAAGTACAGAGCCAACTACATCAGTAATTATCAAACAAGTTGTGATAAATGTGTGCTAGTGAGTGCAGTTTATTTGACAAGTCAGGACAGATTAATAAGGAAACAAACACACCCACAATCTCAATGGCTTAAAAGGACAAAAGTTTATTATTTATGTGTGAGGAATCTCTCTTGTCCCTGGCAGATTTTCCAGGACAGCTGTCCACCGAGTGATGGTTCAGCATCCTGGTCTCTGATCATGAGGCACCTCCATATGGTTGCATTGTTTTCACGAGGGCCACTGGAGAGTGAGAGTGGACCAAGTGTCTGTCCACTAATGTACTTCCATCTACATGCTTCTACTTCGGATAGAATCCGAATCACTTCTGTTAACATGTCTCTGTCAAACTAAGTCACGTCACATGACCATATTTAACTTCAGGAAGGCAGAGAGAACTATCTTCCCATGTAGTAATATTTATAAATGTAAGCTAAACACAGAAATAAAGCACAGGCCAAGGGCTCTGGAGCAGGAAGGAACCCTATTTAGCTTGTTATACATTAGAAGACAATATCCCTGTTTTCCTGTCAATTACTGAAAGTTTATTCTCTGTTGCTTGAATTTATTATGCCAGTAGGAACTGGCCGAGTGGGGCTCCAAACGCAATCCTAATCCTCACACCGATTGATTGGGTGGGGTCTATAAGGCTTCTGTAATTGACCCATGTCTTTATTCCTTTCCTTCTCTTTCACAAGCCTCAGATGTACAGCCCAGGGGAAGATCTGTGAGAGAAAGTTTCTGTTGAGGTCTTAGGATGTCTCCGTTTATGTTCTCAGACGTTTTGTTATTCCTTGAAGACTTGGGTTGTATTTTGCACAAAGGTTTTCTAAGTGTTAAAATAAATGACTTTAACCAATAACATCTCTATCTTATCTTAGATGGTCATTAACAAGAGGCCATTTACATGATGGCCCCAGAAGTGTAGCAAATTTGACTATACTGATTTTGCATGAACAGGAAGCAAAATGACCATCGTGGTGGGTAGCTGTCTGAGGCATGCCCTGAAGCACCGTCGTCCCTGGTGAGGCAGCTGTAGCTGTCACACCTGCCTCTGACCTTGAGGTACCTGCGGGCATGGCCACTGGAGACCCTTAGAACTTGGGAAGCACATTCACCCCCTCTCTTGGCTACCTCGTGGTTTTGGATGCTGAGATCTTGGACCAAGCCGTTCAGCATGTGACATAGCTCAGCTTTCCTGGACCCTACGATACATCTCCCGTAGTTGTGAGTTTACCCCCAAATAAATTCCTTTCATCATTCAATAGACTGTGGATTAATCCCATTAGACCATAGGACGTTAGAGAAAGTAAGAACACCATTAAATACAGAATATAAGAGAAACCGATGTTTTCATTTTTTCTTTTAAGCACCTGGACAAAAGTAAGTTTAAAGTTTCCCCTTTTATTTTGTTTTTCTTTTACCAATTCCTTATCATCCAGTAAGGGTATAGAGTATGAGAGTTCTTCCAGGTGATACATTTCTGTAAGCTCAGGACTTGGAAAACTGAGGCAGGAAGATGGAGTGTCCTAAATCAACCTGTACTACACAGGAAGGAGACTTTCTTAAAATAGTAACAACAAACACAGCAGCAATAACAAAACCAGTTTAATTTGCTAAAATGGAAAACACAATTATATTACTACCGTTTTGCTTTACAAATAGAATAACCAAATTATCACTGAAATGCTTTTTGAAATATGTATTCTCATACATAAAAGGGAAGAAATTTACATTAGTTCTGAAGTGGGGATACGTAAAGAAGTTTAACTTCTTTATATTTTAAGAAGTTAGCTTCACTAAGAAATGGGAAGATTCATATCGAACTGTTAAAGTTTAAGGTGAATATTGTAATTAAACTATTTTGTCATAAAATTGTGATTGAAAACACCAGCAGGGCTCGAGAGTAGGAAAAAGGGTGCAGAATATAGTGATGTTCAGATTTTAGACGAAATAAAACCAAGCAAATATTGCTTAAAAAAAAGAAAAATCCCAGCGCCCCACTGAGGGTGGCCCCTCTCCAGGGGGCAGTAGAGTCTCCAGGAGAGGAGAGAGGCCGAGCAGGTCCGGGAAGTGCCCGCGCTAGGCTGGGTACGGCTGCCCCCTGAGGCGAGGTGAGGGGCGGAGGCAGGAGGAAGAAGCTGGGAGGATCTGCGGCTGCAGGCAAAGCTCTCCTCTGGCGGGATTGGAGGCAGGGCAGCAGCCCGGCTTTAAAGTAGCGGCCTGGAAGGAAGGAAGGAAGAAACGAGGGAGGGACGGGAACCCTGGAGGAGGAGCGGCGAGCTGGGCTGCAGAGCCGGCGGCTTGGAGGAGCCGCCCGCGAAAGGCCACGTTTGTTTTTGTTATTTTCCACTGGACTAGTTCTCCGGGACTGAGCGGGCCGCAACCCCGCGCCCCCGACCTTCCAGGTGACAGCCGGTCACCCTGCTAGCAGTCAGCTCCGCCCCGAGTCACCCCTTCCCGCCCACAGCCCCACTCTCCGCCCAGCCTTCCAGTGCCAGCGTTGGGCGAGCACGGCGGCCGCAGCGGGCTGCAGGAGCCGGAGCAGGAGACCCGGGTCGGCGTGGTCCCCGACCTCGAGGACGGGCGGCAGGAGGTCAGGCGGCTCCGCAGGCGCGATCTCCAGGAAGGAGGATGCACGCGTGAGCCTCGGTCTCCTGCTAGTCCACTGCGCTGCAGCCGGAGCCTCCTCGCCGCGCCGGGGAAAGTGTCGCATGGGGCAGGGCCGCTGAAGCGCGGACTTCAAGGGCTGGTGGCACCAAGGCAGGCGCGGGGGCCTGGGGCGACAGTTGGCAGTTTCCGCGGCGCCTGCACAGTGAGAGTTGGGGGCGCGGTGCCCTCGCTAAGGCGCGAGTTATGGAGTCGCCTAGCTGCATTCAGGATGAGCCCTTCCCGCACCCTCTGGAGCCCGAGCCGGGTACCCCAGCGCAGCCAGGTGCCGCCAAGCCCGGTGACAAGCGCTTCCGGCTGTGGTACGTGGGAGGGTCGTGCTTGGATCGCAGGACCACGCTGCCCATGTTACCCTGGCTCATGGCCGAGATCCGCCGGCGCAGCCAGAAGCCCGAGGCGGGCGGCTGCGGGGCACCCGCGGCCCGCGAGGTGCTCCTGGTGCTCAGCGCGCCCTTCCTGCGCTGCGTCCCCGCCCCGGGGGCCGGGGTCGGCGGGGGCGCTGGCTCCGGGACTGTGCAGCCCCACACCGGGGTATTCATCTTCGAGCACAAGGCGCAGCACATCTCGCGCTTCATCCACAACAGCCACGACCTCACCTACTTTGCCTACCTGATCAAGGCGCAGCCGGACGACCCGGAGTCGCAGATGGCTTGCCACGTCTTCAGAGCCACCGACCCTAACCAGGCAAGTCTCAGGCGCCCAGGGCGGGAGCAGAGCCGCGGGGACTGGCGAGGCAGGGACCCCTCTTTTAAGAACTGTCTCCATCTGGCTGCTGGCTCGCGATCCACGTGGCGCGCTCGGGTGCCCCTCTCGCTCCGCTTTTGGGATCTGGGAGTGAGAGGGAAAGCAATTGGTGACGGGGTTAGTTAGCTTAGGGATCCGCTGGCCGGCCTGAGTGGGAGAAAGGAAAGTAAACACGGAGTGGTCCTGTGACCCGGGAGGAGATGGCAAGTCTGCTGAGGACGCAAGGGAAACCGTGGGTCGGAGGAGGAACCTGGGGACTGAAGATGGCTTGCCTGATTTTCACCAAGAAGTGCATGTGTGCAAGTGTGTGTTTATTAGAAGTGTGGGAGATCCACCCACCCCCCGCCCCGCGGTGGTTCTTAGTAGTCCTGGTAGTCCTGCATTTATACCTGTTTGGCCCGCACGTCACTGTCACCAAAGCACCTCCAGGTGTCTGGGCCTGGGAGGTGTGATTTCAGAGCAGTGTTTAGGGTTAGAGTTAAAACTGTCAGATTGTCAGCCAAGTATGATTCTGCGAATTTGAAGTCGGAAGACGTTTGCTGTTGTTTTCACAGCCACTAAGACAATAAGTGCGTATGTGACTTAAAAATCATTGTGATAGAAGAGGCTTCAAATGTCATTTTAAAAAGTTTTTTTTTTTTTTTTTTTTAGAGCTTCTAGCTTAGTGTCCAATATTTCTCCAGCGTTTACTAACTCGAAGTGTTCTGTTGCTAAACGAAACCTTGACTTCCTTAATAAACAGATGTAGTTCTAGCCAACACAGTGATTCGCCGAAGGGGAATATCAGATATTTACATTATGATTTATAACAGTAGCAAAATTGCAGTTACGAAGTAGCAATGAAATAATTTTGTGGTTGGGGGTCAGCACAACATGAAGAACTGTATTAAAGGGTTGCAGCGTTAGGAAGGTTGAGAACCACTGTTCTAACAGGAGGAAACTTCAGCATAATGACTGACTGTGTCTTGGGAAACAGGCTTGGAAGTGTGGAAAGAAGAGTATGTGCCTGTGCGTGGGTGTGTCTGTATGCTTTTCAACATTTTTTTGTGCTTTTTTTTTTTTAAAATTGTGTTTTCAAAGTGACTTAGGTTTTTAGGGAAATCACTGTTGACTAAATATAAATAAATAAAGTCTCAGGTTCTACACGTGGTATCCTTTTGGCAGCTGGGAGATTAAGAATAGATGAGAAAAACACCCTATATCAAGTCCTTATTTTATTCTTATTCCATAATTGAACTTTAAAGTTATTGTTTGGTGATAGCATTCCACAAATGTCCTGTAATACAACTGAAGTAAAAGACAATTGTCTTCAGTTTCTTCTTCACAATCCAAAAGAGAAAAGCATCTTTTTATTTTTATTATTTTAAGTTTATTTACTTATTTATTTGTGTGTGCACAAACATGTCCTTGAAGAGGCCAGAAGAAGGATTTGGATTCCCCTGAGGAACTATAGTTCCAGGTGGTTGTGTGGGTGCTGGGAACAAATCTCTGGTCCCTAAGGGAGAACAGGAAGTGCTTTTGACTGCTGGCACTCATGCCAGCCCCCAAGGGACAAAACCCTAAACAGCCAGAAAGGCCAATGTGAAGAGGGCAATTAAGCTTTTTTTTTCAAAATAATTTCTTTAGTTTTGAGATTATAATTACATCATTTCCCACTTCCCGTTCCTCCCTTCAAGTTCTCACATATACCCTTCTCTTCTCTCTTTCAAATTCATGGCCTCTTGTTTTCATTGTTGGTTTTTGCATGTGTGTGTGTGTGTATATGTGTGTATGTGTGTGTATATATATGTGTGTGTATGTATGTGTGTGTATATGTGTGTGTATGTGTGTGTATATATGTGTGTGTGTATATGTGTGTGTATGTGTGTGTATATGTGTGTATGTGTGTGTATATATATGTGTGTGTGTATATGTGTGTATGTGTGTGTATATATGTGTGTGTATGTGTGTATGTATGTGTGTGTATATATGTGTGTGTATATGTGTGTATATATGTGTGTGTATGTGTGTGTATGTGTGTGTGTATGTGTGTGTGTATGTGTGTATGTATGTGTGTGTATGTATGTGTGTATATATGTGTGTGTATATGTGTGTGTATGTGTGTGTATATATGTGTGTGTGCATGTGTGTGTGTATGTGTGTGTGTATGTGTGTGTGTATGTGTGTATGTATGTGTGTGTATGTATGTGTATATGTGTGTGTGTATGTGTGTATGTATGTGTGTGTATGTGTGTGTATGTGTGTGTGTATGTGTGTATGTATGTGTGTATGTGTGTGTATATATGTGTGTGTCTATGTGTGTGTGTATGTGTGTGTGTATGTGTGTGTGTTTTGTGTGTTGTGTGTGTGAAACACAACCTGCTCAGTCCGTGTAGTGTTACTAGCATGTGTGTTTCCAGGGCTGACCATTTGGTACTGGCTAACCAACTGATGCGCTCTTCCCTGGGAAGACCATTTCTTGCCCTCTCAGTGTTCCTTAGCTGCCTGCAGTTCTCTGTGTAGGCTTGAGGCCTCCTGGTGGCAATTTTAATTTGTGTTCACTGTTATGCTTGCAACAGAATACTTCATTACAAATGACTTGAAGTTTTCTAGCATGGTTGGCCAGTGAGGTTCAGTTCATGCTTATTTATTTAAAACTCATTTCACAAATGAAATTGGAAAGTTTCCTGAGATTATCACTATCGTTATTGTATTCTAATACAATGTTCTGGCTCTGGAAATAAGGAAGAATCCATTACAGTTTCCAGGCCTTTAAGAGACTTTTGGAAGCCAGCCATGGTGGAACACACCTTTAATCCCAGCACTCAGGAGGCAGAAGCAGGGGGACTTCTGAGTTCGAGACCAGCCTCGCCTACGGAGTTCCAGGACAGCTAGGGCTGTTTACATAGAGAAACTCTGTCTCAAAAAACCAGAGGGGGAGGGAGAGGGTGTGTGTCGGGGGTGGGGTGGGGTGGGGTGGGGTGGGGGGAATGAGTTTCTGACTCACTTTTGATGACCCTGGCTGGTTTATGTTAGTATTTTCCCCTGTGGATCTGGTCTGTCCCATCTGGACACAAGGCTTTGTAGTCGATTACACACATCCTTGGATTTGCCTCCACCATATATTTAAATGTTAAGGGCTGGATGTGCTGTTACTTTACAAATAAAATGCTTAGGCTAACTCCCCCACCCCACCTCGCCTTTATTTCAGAGAAGACAGTGAAAGCCACACGGCTTTTTGATAAAAGAAAAAAAATCTTTTTTGTTTATTATAATTTCCCAGAAGAGTCCTAGGTTTACTATGTGGATTCTTTTTTTGTTTTTTGTTTTTGTTTTTCGAGACAGTGGTTTCTCTGTGTAGCTTTGCGCCTTCCCTGGCACTCACTCTGTAGTCCAGGCTGGCCTCAAACTCACAGAGATCCACCTGACTCTGCCTCCCGAGTGCTAGGATTAAAGGCATGCATCACCACCGCCCGGCCATGTGTGGATTCTTTAAAACAATTTTTTTTTTTTTTTGAGACAGGGTTTCTCTGTGTAGTTTTGGTGCCTGTCCTGGATCTCACCCTGTAGACCAGGCTGGCTTTGAACTCACAGAGATCCACCTGGCTTTGCCTCCTGAGTGCTGGGATTAAAGGTGTGCACTACCACCACCTAGTCTTCCTACCCACTCTTCCAAGGTGTTCTTGGAGCTTTAGGGGCAGGAGTTGGGTTGTAGATGTCGCTGTTGGGGCTGGGTTCCCCACAACCAGTTGTGCTCTGCATTTTGAGCAGTTGTGGTTTTCTGTAGCAGTCTCTGTCTTCTGCAAAGGGACACGTCTTTGATGACAGGTAAGAGCCACAGCACAAGGAGAAGTTTTAGAATGCGGTTAGGAATGTGCTTGTCCGATAAAGTGGTTATTGATCCAGTAGGTTCCCCTCTAAGAACCATGGCCTTACTCCCCCTGGGTAGTTGGCTCGGGATGCTTTCACTCCTGAGTGAGTCTTAAACTCAATTAGACAGCTGTTGGTTACCACCCAGATCCACCACTATTGCACCTTCAAAGATGTCTTACCTTGCGGGTCGTGGTTGTGGTTCGTGTGTGTAGGGTATCTGGGTAGGGTAATTCATTGCTTCCCTCCTCGGGCGGCTTGCATAGCACCTTCTGATATTAGAAAAGATAGACTGCACAGGGGAGGGAGCAAATTCCTGTCAGAGGATCTTTATTTGAAGGGCCAGATGTGGTCTCTATGGTAGTCTCATCTCTGCTAAGAATTAGTAGTTCTAAGCTCCAGTGCCCCAGAAGAGTGCTGAGTGAGGACTGCGAGGGAGCTGAACAGGGGGTGTCCCTTCTCAGCGTGTTACTCGGAGGTATCTGGAAATGACAGGAATGGATGCAAGCTCAGTGTGAAACTTCTGATTCCACAAGAAAGAGCTGAAATGGGATAGATATCTATCTCCTCACATTTTACAGCATTGGCAAACATTTTAAACACTTAGGAACCGTCTTTGGGTCAAGCAGTACACTGGAAGTTTGGTTTCAGATCTCTCCCAGTTTCCACCAAGTGTAAATATTTGGGAACTTGTCGAATTCAGTCATTGACACTGTTTGCCACATTTCCTTGTGAGCACCTGAGTTGATGCATATGACTCTTCACGTGGGCAGTGTGGGGACAACTGACTTCGCAGTGTTTATAGTGAACGTGCTCCAAAGCATGGCGGACTTGAGCCAGACATGCTGGCATTCAACAGTTTTATCAGCCACGAGTTTGCTTCATACGAAGTAGGGTTTGGGAGGTCCTGGGTGCCTCTGAAGGGGAAAGATGACCTGCTGTTTGCCTTGTCCCAAGTTCTTTCTTTGAAGTGGAGACTTAAACCCCTTGTTAAGGGAGGCTGCTGTTGCCTGCATTCCTTGAGCAAGTCTGCATGGCAGCAGTGCGTGTGCAAACGTCTCTGGTAGGCGTGCCTTGCTTTGTCTCACAAGCCTGGCTGTTTTCTGATGTGGACCTGCCTGGAGGATGACCATACACTTTATCGATCTGGGATAGTTTTTATTGTGAACGAGGGCTCCACCAGCAAATTACCCAAGTATAATAAGTTATACACCTGGCTTGGGTAGGTAGGGCTGACTGGGTTTCACATCCATACCAGCAAACGATAGAGTTTGTATTCACGTTGGGCCACCGATGTGGAGGCTTGTCTAACCGAAAGGCTAATGTTCAACAGAAGATCCTCTCACATATCTTTTCTGAGGGTGGCTCTCCATGTGATCTCAGAGATGGGAGTGCCAAGCTGATAGCTTGGGTCTGTTGTGGGGAGTTCCCATGGTGATAGGCCCTCTGGGTTCACACCTCTTCCTGAGTTAGAGTTAAGGATGTGTGTCAGGAGAAGCACTCAGCTGGAAAGGCTTGGTGTGCACAGGCCTTTCAGGTGCAAAGAGAGGTGAAGAGGAGGTTAAGTGTGTGTCCCGTGTGTCCAGTGGTCCCCATCTGTGCAAGCCTGTGAAGTGTGATGTGGAAGGA